ACATACATATATACACATACATATATACACATACATACATATATACACATACATACATATATACACATACACATACATACATACATATATACACATACATACATATATACACATACATACATATATACATGTATATGTACATACATATACATATAACATATATACAAACATACATTTCGGTTTCAGATCCCAAATCTGTCAAAAGAACCTGGGGGTGTTCATCTTCATCAATGCCTCACCTTGTTTCTGTGGATGTAGTACAATCCATTGAGCAGCATCTGCATGACCTTCTTGATCTCGGCAAGGGTGAACTTTACATTGGCATTGCTCAACAGCCCGGCCAGGTCATGCTCACAGAAGTCAAACACCAGGTAGATGCTGCCTTTGTATCTGTTGAACTGAGTAGCTTTAAGAACAACGACAGGAAAAAACAATGAAAAACAACCAACAAACTCATTTTATGCAACATAGGCTTGCTGCTCCCGCCGTTAGAGAAAGACATATTTAGGTATGGCAAACGAGTAGCCTAAAAATACAAGCACACAAACCTAAATGAGGACAGAAATTGATTAATTTATAGACTGGAGAGTTTTGACACCAACCTTTGGTTCGGCAGATCTCAATCAGGTTGACCACATTCTCATGTTTGAGCAGCTGCAGGATCTTGATCTCTCTGAGAGCTGTGATTGGGAACTGAAACAAAGCAGTCAGAGAAAACTCGTATAATGACTGAAGAAACACTGATGCACTGATATAAATTCAGCATGTTGTCAATACTTAATTTTCTGAGCAAAGACAAGCAGCACTATGAGCACAGCAGCGTTCAATCCACACTCAAAAAAGTGAACGCCAGGGAGTTTAAAAGACACGGTTAACGGCCAGGTCAGTCAGACTTGTGTTTGGGGACTTTTGCCTGTCGAGTTTAACATTTTTCCCATGTCCTTTTACTACATTTCCAATTTCAAAACACAGTACATAACAAAGACAATCACACAGAACATGCACAGAATCCCTAAAACCATAAGCGACAAAACTAAAGACATCCTACAAATTCATTCAAAAAAAACAATAAGCACTAGAATAGTAGCAATAAAAGCATTCATAATCTGAAAAAACAACATATCAAAACATAAGTGCCTATAAGAAACACGCTATACTGCTACGCTCTCTATACCACTACTGTACCACGACGAGCAGGTGGAATCAAAGCTGCACCCTATCAGTGTTGTAACAGAGAAGAAGCTGCAGGTAAAAAAAAAACAAAAACGGCTGACGATCCTCCAAAAGTGTGAAAGTATTTTAAGCTCTGCAAATTAGAATGGCTCATTACAGCAGTAAAACTGCTATGCACGAACCTTCTGGTTCTATTGTGGAACCAGTTTAAAGATTCGGTGCAGGGGGAAGACACCCTCACCAAATATAAGAGTAGGATTAAGACTTTCCTCCTTGCAAACGCTTATAGTTAGGGCTGGCTCAGGCTTGCATTGGACCGCCTCTTAGAATGCTGTGGGGGTGCTAGGATACACTGAGGTTTCCATGGATCCTGGTTCTACCTGGACCGTGGTCCTGCCTGACACTCAGTTACTCCTATTATTATTAGTCACGTTTCTATTACCATTACTGCTTTTATCATCATTATTCATTTTTGTATCCACTGCTACTATTATGAGTAGTCATAATTGTTCTATCATTATTCTGCTATTATTGGTGCTACTACTGCTATTATTACTACTCATTATATGAATCATTGATGCCATATGCATTGACTGTGTTGTAACTGTTGTGTTGTTCATTCTGTACACATGACATCTATCACACTGCATCCTGATAGAGGATCCTCCTCTGTTGCTCTCTCTAAGATTTCTTCTTTTTTTAATATTCCATTAAAACAAGGAAAAATACTCCCATAAACTGAGGCTCTGCCTTTCATTTACCCGTTGCCATGGTGAATTGAAGTATTAGAGCTCCACTGATTACGGCATTTTTCATTCACCACGCAAGAGCTTAACTCACAGTGAACATAACCAGAAAGAGCATTTTGGTCATATGGAAAAACACTTATGCTGACTCCACATCAACAATGGACATCATTATACCGAGTGGTATATTACCCCTTCTTTCTCATTTTCCATCAACACCTTCTTCAGTGCGACCTTCTTCCCAGTCTGTCTGTGCTTTGCTTTGAACACCTCCCTGTGAAGAGAATGGTACAACAGAACTAATCAAATACTTTCAAACTTGATTTTGAAGAAGAGAGAAAGAAAACCAAGTTGTAACTATAAACCACATTAGGATAATATTTTTAACATATAATGCCAACAGTCATATCACTTGGATCTTTCATATACGAGGAAATACCTAAATGTTCACTTACAATTGTAGGCAAGTGTTTCTTTTAAGGTGACAGACTACAACGTCCCTCTATTAGCTACTATACAATCCATCAGGCTAGGTTATTTGACTTTGTAAGCTACATTTTCAAAGTCTCTTGAACATATAACAGATATCCGTCCTAAAAATGATTTTTGAACAGCTGCCCACACGGAGAGAAACAGAATTGTTCATGTTTGGGCCCAACTACCTGAACGCTACTTGTCCTCTAACAAGTTAGCTAAGCACAGCTAACGTGAGTCCTTCTTATAGCCTATGCGTTAGTCACACACACAGACACACAGATAGGAAATATATATTTTTGTGAGACTCACCCAAAGGTTCCTTGTCCTATTTTTGCCATTTTTTCGTATTTGGAGAACTCGTCACAGAAAGGAAATTCAACTCCATCGTAGTATTTCGACATTATGGCGGCCTCCCGGTCGGGCCTGAAGAGACATTTCATTAAGTAATGGAGCATTATTGTTAGAACACAAGCAACATAGAACACGGCCCACTGTAATTACATTGTTTAAAACAAAAATGTTTTAAAAGTGACACTGTAAATCGCTATATTCTTACTTTTCAGCCCCGCCGGCGTTGCTTGTCTTGTCTCGCTGCATCCCTGCTAGTCTGCTAGTCTGCGACCCTGCTGTGTATGCTGCGTTCAAGTGAAACTCAGGCTCCTAGACTTCAGCAGTGTAATGAACTGTTTCTTTAATTTATACATAATACTAAAAATACAGATATAGAAATACAAACACCCCACTCGTATTGTGTAGACAGAATGTAATTCAATAAGAGATAATATAATGAAAGTATTATTTCTAGTTTTTTTGTAAACTTATCATCAGGGCAGTGACGGTACTTGAAGGCAGCAACATGGGACGACTTTAGTGGCGTGAACTGAGAGAGCGACACCTGGCGACCCGGAAGAGTACTAACGGCTGCAAAATATACATATTTGCCGTGGCACTACTTAACAGAAAATAATTGTGTCATGTGACAGTGTGGGCAAACGTTCCTCCCACCAATCAAAAGGTAGGCAGATCGTGTTCGTTTGTTTTTGGTTGTTTGTTTATATCTTTGGTGGATATTACTGTGGCTGTAAATATAACAAGCATACATGTAAAGCAAGCATCCACATGCATCATTATTCAATGCAAGTTAAACTTCCATTTTATTTCATAATGACCTGACAGTTTTCCCAAATATACTTGCTCAGCAAAAATAAATGTTAACGTTGGCTATGTACATTCCATTTATAAAATGTTTTGTATGATATTCAATAGTTAGGCAACATAGAAGATTAGTTAGTTACTTAGTTAGTTAGTTATTGTGTCATGCACATACAGGTTCCCAGTCCACGTGGACTTATCACACACCAAAATACAAATAAGGTACACCGCTTTTCAAGGGCCTAATTAAATACAAATACTAAATACAAATTTGACCCATTTGATCATCTTTTTTTTGTAAAAACTGGTTTGTAAAATGATCGGGGCGTGTCGTGACGTCATTGTGTGTGTGTGTGTGTGTGTGTGTGTGTGTGTGTGTGTGTGTGTGTGTGTGTGCGTGCGTGTCGGAAAGGAACCTGCCATATTTGGCTGCAACTTCCTGTAACAGCTCGACGCACCATGATGGTGTGCATGTCGAGCGTGTGGCAGCGGGGCTTCGTGTTTTCCGCGCGGCTCCGAAAGCAGGGCTGGGCGTGTAGTTTGGCGGGCCTTTCACACAGGTACTACAGCACCAAGACGGCACCGCAGATACCAGGCATGGAGTACCAGGTACGCCCTTTGACCTATTTTTGCACCGGCTGCTAGCGAGCTAGCCACCAGCGGTAGTTTGACAAGTTTGTGGTAGAACTCGAGTGACTGCACGGTTGCGACATGGATAGAAACATGGCTGCCTATCTGAGACTAATGTTACATCCGTTTGGCTGGTGGGCTGCTGGTTACTGAGGGACTGTACTATGAAACATTCCAGTGTGGGCAGAACACTGGCAGCTGTAACGTTACTGTGTGGAAGTGCCACACTCACTGGCGTCAAACGTCAACGTTGAACCAGAGTGCTGACACGTGCTCCAAATCTCTGATGCCATATAGAGAGTTTGACTTGGGCCGCTTTCACATCATGTGTAAACTTTTTTTTTTTTTTTTTTTTTTTTTTTTTTTTTTTTAATTAATTTTATTATGTTAGTTGTGTTTTGTTTGAACTTAACATATCTGAAACTACTCAAGAGTTAAATAAACATGAAATAAACACATTTATCTTGTAACATCATGTACAAAGCAACCCTTTGCGTTAATCATTGCACTACTGTTTACAAGTTGTTTCATATATATATATATATATATATATGTGTGT